TTTTTTTGAGACAGGGTCTCACTGTATAGTTGAGCCTGACCTGGAACTCACTATGTAGGCCAGGCTGGTCTCCAACTTGCAGTGATCCTCCTGCCTCAGCCTCCCAAGTGCTGGGATTACAGTTGTGTGCCACCACGCCCGGCAACCCAAACTGATCTGTATATTCTTCTTTCTCCCATTGTGGTTTTGATTTGCATCTCTGGGTTAGTTAATAGTATTGGCTATCTTTTCATATTTTATTGATTGTTTGGGTATTTTCCTTGCAGAAGTTATATATTCAAATCCTTTGCCTGTTTTTGGTGTTTTTTTTGCACTTGAGTTGTGGGAGTTCAGCATATATTATAAACTAAGTCCCATGTGAGATACAGTATGTGTATGATTTGGAGAGGTATTTGCTCATTTTCTGTGTTGTATTCTTACTTTCTCAGTGGTGTCCTTTGAAGTATGAAGAGTTTTTAATTCGATGATGTCTGTTTTTCTGTTTTTTCGTTATTCAGCTTTGGTGTTGTATTTAAGAAATTGTCATTTAATCCAAGGTCCATGTGAATTTACATGTCTATGAGTTTTCCTTCTATGAGTTTAGTTTCATCTGACCCTCAGCTTTGTAACAGACTGCCCTTGCTACATGTTGTTCTTTTCTCTGGGATTATGGCTTCTTGCTCACTTTATGTGCTACAAGACAAGGGGCTGTGCCCCCTTTGAGCTTTTATATCTCCAAGTACATAGGAAAAATCATTTTTGTTTTCTGACTCCATTTGATGGAGCTCATATATTACTCCTTTTAATCTGTCTTCTGTCCCTCTTTGATAACCACATGTGATATCTTACCTATGCTTTAATCTCATATTTCCTTATTTCTTAACTCTCATGGTGGTCGTTGTAATCTTTATTTCAGCAGTCATTTCTGCTACCAGATACTGGACCTTGCTACTCTTCAAAATTATTAAATTCCTGTATATCAGCATTCTGGTTATAGTCTCCTGTCTTCTTTATTTTCTTGTCATCTTTTCTCTCATTTCTCCCTCCCTTCCCCATTCCCCAGTCTCTTTATTTCTCCTTTCTAACTCTACCACTTCTACAAGCTTCGTCCTACATAAAGTACATAGTCAGCCTTTTTCCTATTTGCTTATAGTCAGTGTTGTTCTCTAGCCCATTGAATCATTCTCATATACTTTAGATGCCTAATAAATGATGAATGAATGAATGATGGAATTAACAAACCATGTATTGATCTGTTTGTGTCCATTACTAGCACTGCTGGACCTGGAATAAATTCAGCTGCATAGGGATTCATCATTAGAAATTTATGGGCTCCAATTTCAGCTGGTTTCTCAGTACTGTATGGCAGTTTTTACATGTCCCTAGTCGTCACTGTTATTCTCTGTAACCAATACTTTTGAACATTTGTTCTGTTCTTGCTTTGTCATATCCTTTCTCACTCATAGCAATTGAGCTTGCTTTTTACCTCATTGAGAAAAACTGAGAGCAACATCTCAGCATCCTCCCTGAATCTGTAAGAGGACTAGCATTCACCATCATACTTTCCTTCCCCCTAACATCTCATTTCAGAAGACTTGGCCCTCCTGTCACCCTGGAATCTTACCCTTTCCACTTTCTGAGAGAACTTGCTCCATCAATTAGTTCTCATATATTCAACTCTTCTTTCTCTTCTGTTTTAATCTCCTCAGTATGTAAACTGTAAGACCAAAAAAGTAGTTAAGTACAGTAAAGTAACTTTAACTATGATACATACATACTCAATTTCATCTGGCTACCAGGAGTTCTTTCTCCTTTACTTTTTTAAAAGGAGGTAGTCTATATTCTCTGTTTCTATTTTCTTATGATTTATTGCCACTAAACATACTTGCCCTAAATTTGTAGACTCCCTAGACAAATATCATTTTAGTCTATGTGTTACTTGTTGTCTCTGTATCATCATGTAATATTGTTGGCCATTCTCTTCTCTTTCCTTTTGCCTCTGGTAGATTCTCGTAGTCTTCAGAGCCTGGGCAGAGTTCCAGTGTGCTGTTGTCTTTTCTTGTTTTCGCACAAGACACTGAGGCCAAAAGAATATTTTTAAGAGGCTTGCCATTGCATTTTTAATACATTCTTTATATAGGGTTTTTCTCATTGCTGTAGAGTTAATTACAGCATTACTGTAATAGAATGACATTCTTTTTACCCTAAGGATTTAGATGAATGTGTTTTTGGGTATCCATTCAGTGAGAAACTAGGAAGGCTGTAAAATGAATGAAGTAGATCTATATGAATGAATGTGAACACAAATCAAGGGACAATTGTGTATTCCACATATATATGTACACGCACACATATAGAAAATACTTATATGTAAATATTTAACAACAGGAAATATCTTCATGTCTGTTCATCATAAGAAGTGATTTTTATCTATGCAGTAGAAATAGAGAAAGGAGTATATTATAGGTTACTTTAATTTTCTTGGGGCACAGCTGTTTCTCCTGCAATAAAACAGCGATAATTTGGAGATTTTTAGGGGATCAGCTTTTACTTATTCTTACCTGACTATTCCATTGGCTTCTTGGATCATAACTTTACATTTCTGTTTTAATTTTAACTTTTAAACTCTAGTCATGCTTACTGAGTCTCCTTAGTGGGCTTTGCCTGTTGGCACTCAAAGTCACTTTTGGTTCCCTGTGTCTGGTTTCATTACCCTCCCTCCGTGTTCTGATGGCATCCTGAGCAATCATCCCTAGTCACTGGTATAGAGAAGATGAGCTTTATTATTGATATTTTATTCCATGGATCTGAGTATAGTACTCAGCATGTAGTAAAAATTCATTGAAAAGGTTTTAAAAAGTAAAGTAACAACACAGAATTTGGGATAGATCTCTTTAGTACTAGCATGTCTTCCTGTTAGGTTGTCATTTTGGGCCCTTTTGCTTGAACCTCTGTGTGAGGAGCTATATTTTAATTAAATTTAAATTTAGATATCAGGTTATGTTTCATTTCATTCATAGACTTTCCTAAAACAACCCAAGTAGTTTATTTAAATGCATTATGATATCTCTAATTATCCCTGGAGGAAAAGAGGATGGTAATTTCATATTATTACACAAAAGATTGGTATAAGATTTTAAGAAAGATCTCCAAATGCATTAAAGGAAACTTGCATTGATGTGTTTTGAAAATGTATAACATTGATTCAAGTAAAAGCATAAACAGCTTTTTCTCCTCCATGTAAATTGCTTGTCTAACCATTTATTTTCTTTTCTAGGTTCAACAGATAGATCGTGTGGTAGAAGTTGTAGAAGAGACAATTAAAGGTAATTGTTGAAAGGGAGGTAGGCAAATGTATATATTTGATCTTGGATTCATGCATTGACCAGAGAGTATACATTTGACTTACAAATTAATTAATGAATCAGACCTTAGTTTTTTAAAAATCTTGTTTTTCTGTAAAGTGGGTTTATTTTAAATCTCAGAAGACAAAATTTAGTTAGTTTTAAACTAAGGAAATACTTTATTTGTGCATTTTCATATCATGTAATTAGTTGCAGTTTTCTTTTTGAAAAATACTTTTAATTTTGAAACATCTTCAAGGTGTAATTTTTGTTAAACTAGAAAATGGAATTATGCGTTTATTATTTGCTCATTGAAACATTGTAATAAATGCACTGAGAAGTGAACTACTTGGGTATTTTAAATGTAAATATTTATTGCCTGTTTTTCCTTTGTTAGATTAGCACAAATAAAAACAAATTTTGAAATATTAAGTTCAATGGCTTAAAATTTGAGTTGTTTAAAATAATTAAAAAAATATTTTGGGTGACAGGGTCTTGCTGTGTTGTTCAGGCTAGGCTTGAACTCACTATGTAGCCCATAATGCCCTCAAACTTGTGATCCTCCTGCCCCAACCTCTTCAGTGCTGAGATCACAGGTATGTACCACCATACCCGGATTTTAGTTTTTAAATAAAGAAATTTGTTTTTCAAACACATAGACTGTCACACTGAAATTTGTAACTCTCTACTTTTCCTGCTGCCCTATGTTTGCTCTTCTCCATATGCTTTTATTAATTTTGAATCTTATTAGTGATGATTATAGAATATGAGAGTAAGACTATCTCCTAATCTTCTGTAGACATTTTTTTAAAAAAAGGATTTTTGGGCTGGGGATTTAGCTCAGTGGTTCTGGCGCCTGCCTCACAATTGCAAGGACCCATGTTCAATCCCCGGTACCAAAAAAACAAACAGGCCAAAAAATAAAAATAAAAAAATGATTTTAGGCATAACTTACAGCAACGATATTTGAATTTTCAAACTATATCAGTATTTTCTTGAGTAATATATATGCCAGTATTAGTTGTGCACTTACAGTGTGACAACATGTTAAGTACTTCTCGCGGAGTAAGGCATTTAATTATGCATTTAGTCCTGTGAGGTGTAGTGGATTTAAAATATTTTACTCATTTGGCAGACACAAGGGCATATAGTTAGAGTTGGGATTTGGACCTAGGTAGTCTGGCTTTAATGCCTACATTCCCTTATACAGTAACACATTGTGGAATGCTTTCTCTATTCTCACTCATAAGAATCACTGTTTCAGAAGTTGAATTGAGCTGCTTAAGCAGTGCTTCAAGATGCTTGAGGATGTTGCCTTATTCACATGCTGGCCATTCAGAAATTAAAAAATAAAATGATAAGGAAGATGACAGAGAAGACAATCTAGGTGGCTTTGGTTATGGCAATAACTTTTAGATAGAACTTCAAAGATATAAGCCACAAAGGAAATAATTGATAAGTTAGGATTTAAAACATGTGCTCTGCAAAAGACACTGTGAAGGCAATAAGAAGACAAGGCATTTCAAGGGGGAATGTGTTTGCAAGAGATCCATCTGATTAAAGTTTGTTATCCAAAAGATATGAAGAACTCTTAAAATTTGACAGTCAACAAGTTTTAATTTTAACTTCTAAACTCTAATTGTGCTTGCTTAGTCTCCTTAGCAGGCTTCATCTGTTGGCAGTCAAGGTCACTTTTGGTTCCCTGTATGTAATTTCATTGCCTTCCTTCTGTGTTCCCATGGTGTCCTGAACAATCATCCCTAGTCACTGGTATAGAGAAGAGGAGCTTTATTGTTAGGAAATATTTTGCCCATTTAGAAAATGGGCAACACTAATAAAACTTCACCGAAGGAGATATATAGATGGCACATTACATATTAAAAGATTCTCAGCACCATGTGTTATTAGTGAATTGCACATGAAAGCAGTGGGGTTACAGCACACACCCATTGTAATGGTAAAGTTGGAAACTCTTGGCAACACCAGTTGTTGGCAAGGATGTGGAGAAACAAGAACTCTTACTTATTACTGGAGGGCACACAAAGTGGTATGGCCACTTTGGAAGACAGTTGGGCAGTTTCTTAAACATAGCCTTAGCATTTAGCCTAGTCATATATCTACACAAACACATGCATGTGATGTTTATAATAGCTTTATTGATAATTGCCAAAACTCAGCGGTTGCAAAGATGATTTTCTATAAGTAAATGGGTAACCTGGAGTATATCTAAACAGTGGAAAAGAAATGAACTATGAAGCCAGGAGAAAACATAGAGGGAATCAGAATGCATTATAAACTGAAAGAAGCTAATCTGAAAAGGCAACATACTGTTTGATTTCAGCTCTGGGACATTATGGAAGAGGTGAGCTGTGGAGGTGGTGAAAGGATCAGTGGTTTACAGTGATTAGGGAATAGGGAGGACGTGAATAGAGAGCTGAGAAGCTACTTAGGGCTGAGATACTGTTTTGTATGATGATATAATGGGTGATACATGTCAGTATACATTTATTCAAAGACAGGGTTTGCAACAACTATGAACCTTAATGTAAACTGCAGACTCTGTTTCTGGTTTTGTCTTTTTGGTACAGGGGATAGAACTTGGGATCTTGAGCTTGTGAGGCAGGCGGTGGAACCATTGAGCTAAATGCCCGGCCCCTAAACTGCAGACTCTGGATAATAATGTGTATTAGTGTAGACTCCTTGTTAACAAAGATACCACTCTGGTGCAGGGTGCTGATTCAGGGGAGGTAGTGGTATACATAAGCTCTATACAATAAACTCTGCTCAATATTTTTGTGAGCTTAAAAATTTATTAAAAAATTATGTCCATGGGAATTTGCCAAATGATTTGCAGAGTTATAATTGTAAAGGAAATTATAGATGGCTGTTCACTCCCAGGCTTGTTTAAAAGTAGTGATGGTTCTCACTGATGAGTTTGGATTTAAGGGGATTTATTGGGGAGGCTGCTTTTGATTTAGTTGTGAGCAAGAGGTGAGTTGAGGATGAAGGTGATAGGAATGCTCATTGGCTGGCTTAGTTTGAGGATGGGAAAGCTGATAAATTAAGTGCTAGTAATGTTCCAAAAGAGCATTGGAGACAGAAAGAATCATTTTGGTAGCTATCCTTAGTTTATAGATGAAGAAGGTGAGCTATGAAAGAGTTAAATGACTGAATCCTCTTAGTTAACGGAGAGCTGAGTCTATCAAAGAACTTGTATTCTTTACTCTCTATTTCTTTTGCTACTGCTTCATTCAGACAGCCCTCATCAGTGAAGTAGTGTGGACTTTGTAGCAGTTATCCAGCTGCTGTTAATTGTGTTTCATCAAGTTGTATTTCTCCGGCTTTGTCTTTATTTAAAATAGAGAGGATTTAAGGGATATGACTTTTGAGGTACTCGGGGTAATTGGAGATTAGTTCAATATGTTGACTTCTTAATTCTCGGGCAGCTGGATAATAGATGATGGTACATGTCTAATCCCTGCATTCTGGGAGGCTGAGGCAGAAGGAACACAGTTTCAAACCCAGCCTGAGCAACTTAGTGATTTAGCAAGACTCTCTGGAAATAAAAAGAATAAAAAAAAAGGGGGGGGGTTGGGGATGTAACCCAGTGCAGTGGCCCTAGATTCAGTCCTCAGTACCACAAAAAAGAAAATAAAACCAACCCAAAACCCCAAAACAGTAATAACAAAATTTGGACAGTTGAAGGAATCTAACTGCTCTTTCCTTCAGTGGCTCTCCTTTCTGTCTGTATAAACTGCCACCATTCACTTAGGACTATTTTGCCATCCTGCATGTATATCTTCACTGATTGCCTGTAATCCACCTAATTGACTTGGGATTTCTTAGCAACATCTTATCTTCGACTTCATACTGCCACTTGTGCTTTTCTTCTGGTAATGCCATCCATAACTACTTTGCTGCAGCAAATGCATCCTGTGATGTTTCTCATAAATCACTTTCAGTTGGCTTTCCATTCATCATAAGGTCCTTGGCAGCAGTGGGCAACTTCTGTTTGCCTCCTTTGATTTTCTCCACTCTTGTCCATGGAGGCTGACCTGTGTGGAGTCCATCAGTAGGTTCCTGGCAAGCCCACAGAAGGTTTAAAATGTGAGAATGGAGTGAGATGAAAGTATTTATGCTTCCCCTCCTACTTGTTCTGGCTTGACTGCTTTTGAAAAGCTACAGCTTTTGTCAGGTGGCTCTCCCACTCTTCTCTTCTGTAATTATTCTTTCTTGTGCCTCCTCAGACCTGAGGTGGAAACAGCTCTTCATTGTTACCAGCCAAGGCTATTGCATGGTCTCTTGTTCATTTTCCTATCTTGCTCATTGTTGAGTAAGTTTATTTATAAATACCTCTTCAGTTATGCAGAGAAAGCATTTGCTTTGCTGGTACCCTAACCAATAAGAGATTAGCCTTTGAGAAGCCAAAGCTCTGCCCAGGGTGCCAGATGGAAGAGGGCCTAGTTTGAGGATTTTGCTGTAACTGTCTTCTTTCCATATCCAGTCCTTGTTTGTCTTTAAGTCTTAATTCTTCCTTGGAGGCCATAGGCCACTCACTGCTTGTTTGCATTCTTATAATTGTTAATAAGATATCTTGATACCTAAATATTTCAAATCTGCCATAACACAAAACTAGACAAAGCATCTTTTTAACTGTTTTGATTGTATCAAAATGGAAAAATTCCAAAATATTTGGAATGAATCTTCATTTGTTTCAGTAGTAGACTGAAAATTTCATCCAGTTACAACTTGTGCTTTAGGAAATACTAGATTATAATGAATTTACAGTTGTCTCCTTTGTCAGTTTGATAATTTAACTAGATATGGAACTGAATTGATGGAAAGAACTTGTTTCTAAATTATTGCATTAATTTCTTTCTTTTAAAAATGTATTCCCCTTAATCTTGGCTTATATGGTTGTTACAAGCCTTTTCTTTTTGTATGAGAGATGTGAAAGGAATATAATCTTCATCAATTCCCAT